GTTTTGGAAGGTTTTCTTTTTGACAACTTTTATTGAAAGGATTAGTTGAGTTATTGGATGGATCATGTAGTAAAGTTGTTGATTAAAGGGCTTACAGAAGTCTGTATCGTTTATAACGAGTTAATACTGGTCCATCCATCGCAATCAGGAAGAAAAATGGGCGTTTTCTATCATTAAACGGATTTGATATTACACACATAGTTGCATATAATTCGTTTCAGCAACGTTTTTTTTTGTTACCTATACAATTCTAAAATTTCTTTTGTTTCAACATTACAAGTTACAAAATTTCTCCTCCAATTTTTCGTGACATATTCCAAAAGTTTCTTGGGCGTCTCAAATATTCCGTCCTCGTCTTTAACTACGTAGCTACCGTCTCGTAGAGAGACTAAAGTGAACTTGTGTTTGGAAATGAGCCACTTGGCAACAGTGTGTTTTCCTACGAGACGAGGACCCGTTATACCAATAAACATGTTATCAATTTTTCGAAGAGTCAGGTATTACAAGAAAGAGCGCGTTCACTCAGTCGCGTAATACTAATTAACCTCGCGTACTCACGTGACAAAGGCATGCAATTATTCATACAAATACGAAGTTCATTTATTCCATAAATATCAAAATATATTCTTCAGGTATGACAGCCAATCGTTCTTAAACCGACATGATAATATTTTCTTACCTTCCAAGAGTTATTCAATGTACGATGCTGACAAAGAGAGGTGGATTGTCATTATACAGTATTAAACAGTTTGACAAGATCCTTATAATAAAAAAAATTTTTTTTTGGATGCGAAAAGAACTTCATCAGATTTCTGTTCAGTTTCATCACAATAACATCAGTTGCTAAATAGCACAACAAATAATCCTCATAATCAATGTTATTTCGAATCATCATTTGAAGTTTTCTTGAACTCGAACTGCACTTGTGTTCGAACAAGAATTCTTACAACCATATGTTTTTTGAAGAGCCTTTCCGATTGCAAACTATTTGAACAATCATGAGGGCGCCGTTTTGTTGCGGCAAATAATCCTTCAATGTCCTTATCAATCGACATGCGGCCATATCAGAAACATAGGCTGCATGAATTCTCCTTCGAAACGACCAAAGCAAAGTACGATGATCATACTGTTCATATGCAGTATGCTCCTTATATTTATATTTACCTGATACGTAATTTCATGTAATTCATAAACATCTGTGAAACAAATGAAAGTAATTCCGGCCGGGAATAAATAGGATAACTGTGCATAATAAATTTTTTCATTTTTCGCACTCCTATGGGTAATAAATAATGTTTTACTCAAAGATCGAGGAAATATTTTCAGTACCATTTAACACTTCAGAATGGGATTATTCTCAGTTGACGAATCCCGACGAATTTCAGTGGAAAGTTGGGGTCACGCCATTTAGTAATTGGCAGGTAAAAACCTTTAAGAAAAGCATATACACATGTTACGCACTTTTCACAAGACTAAGACGTGTTCAAATCTATTAGTTTATCGTTGGCTCTTGGGTAACATACTTTACTATTATCGCCAGTTTGGAGGTAAGAGTAGTTGACGGTTACCTCGCGATTTAACTAACTAGTACACGTAATTCAGAATGTCAACCTCAAATTATATTTGCAGTTATTTATGAAATCGAGGCAACCATTTTCATTGCGGATCGTGTCGGCTGCACACAACTTGTTTTTGTGTATACTTTCGGCTTTGATGTTCGGATATGGTATCTTTTATTATTACGAGAGATTTCAGGTTAGTACATAGAAAAAACTTTGCTGATCTATTTCAAGATCGCTGTATATGTATATACAGTATGTTTGTTCATAGGATCAGGCGAATAATTTGGTTTTTAGACGCGTGGTGCAGGAGAGTGCTTTTGCACATCGGATGAATCGTCATTGAATGGACGATTGTCTTATGTTACATACATCTATTATTTGTCGAAGTTTGATGAATTGTTGGATACCGTGATTTTAGCACTTAAGAAGGTAATAAACAACATGCCATTACAAATATTCCTGTTTTCTATCATTGACACATTTAATTTGTGAACAAACAGAAGCCGATAATCTTTTTACATTGGTATCATCACGCAATTGTTATTCTGATGGTATGGAGTTGGCTTGAAGACGGAAATATGTATGCTAGGTAAAGCATCCAATTACGTCTTTGAAATTATCAAGGAATTTTCATTAATCTTTGTCAACAAAAACAAATTTAGACTAGGGATGATAACAAATGCTTTCATACATGTACTCATGTACTATTATTATTTTTTGGCGTCTCTGGAAAAATCTATATGGTTCAAGGTATTAAAAATAATAATTATATTTACCAAATCTTCTCGTTTTCAAACTAATTCGCATACATTGCTTCAATAATAGAAATACATAACGACTGGGCAAATCATACAATTCCTTATATCATTCATACTAGCCGTGCCATACTTATACTATCATTTCGCGAAAAATTGTAAACTCGGATTCGTATCATTCTTGTTTTCAATGGCGTGCAACGGAAGTTTCCTTTTATTATTCATTAGATTTTATGCAAAAACTTACGGGAAGGTGAAGAGTAAAAAGGTTGAGCAGAAAACTAGGTAATGTTAAAAAAATGGGAAAGACATTATTAGTCGTAACACTCGTATATACCCTTTTTTACTGATTAATTGGTGAGGTCCATTACTTTTTTAATACATTAAGTCGTTGGAGAAACATATTTCATTTATAAAATTGTGTAGATCACTGGTGGTCACATGATATTAACTGGCAAACCTATAAATCATTCATGTTACACCAAATGAATCTTTTTTTTTTTTGACTACCATCAAATATCGTGATTAAAATAAATTAATACTAATTAAAAAAAAAAAAAAAAATTTTTTTCTTAAATATCTTTTTTTGATCATACGATGAAAATGAGAGTCGGGCGGAACTTAATGCTCGAGGATCCTGCAAATTTAAATTTTTTTAATGGATTATTGATCCGAGAACTATGAAAGATGAATACTACTTTGGTTACAAACCTCAAGTTTCCAGAAACAACTTTGTTTTCGAGTACTGAATTTGGCGGAATATCAATTCTGGCACCATATGTCGCGACAATAATTACTGTCCCTTTTAACTGCACACCTGCACCAAAAGTAACGTCGCCAGTGACAGTAAGATGATCGAGTTCAAGAATATGAGGCGGCGATTGGAATCGCGCTAGAAAATTTGAGACCTACATGAGTTGATGGTGGTCACGTTCCAGGATATGTGAAAGGCATGTTATTGCACGTGATTATATAGTGTGAAAGAATGCTTATTTAAAATCATCGAAAGAAATGAAATACCTTCTTAAATTCATCACCCAATTTTACCAGTGGAACAGTCTGGAAAAGTCTTTTAGGGTTCATCATGAGTTCACCATGATTAAGCGAGTACAGATCAGATGTAACCAGAAATAGGTCAGATGTAGATTTCACTGGTAAGAAACGACTTCTTGGTACATTAACTCCATGCGCGTTTTTAAAATGCTTGATAGCTGCACCAACAGCTGTTTCAAGTTGAATCACTTTTTCACCGGATTCAAGTGTTTTGTTATTAACAATAACTTCCATATTTAACTCTTTTTCCTCGGTGACGCGCTTTATGGCTTTCAGGTTTATCCACAAATTGTTGGTATTGAAAATCTTGAATTTATTAATTGATTTAAAGTCCTCCATATGTTCCGAAGGGACTTGAGCCACTTCCAGCAACCTGACGGTACCCTCATAATCAATGAGGGTACCACCCTTTATATCGGCCTTGGTTTTGTCGGTAACCTCCATGATGAATTCTGCATCAGAATCCACCATATGTTGAAGAATGTTCAGATCGACTACCGCGCCCAAGTTGTCGACATTCGAGACGAAAATGTATTCTTTCCCTTCGGCGATAAGTCGATCCAGTATGCCTGAGTTTAACATGGATTCGAATAAATCTCCGTGACCCGGTGGATACCTATTAAAGAATCAAATGTCAAGTTTCCGATTACCATATAAGATCAGATAGACACCAGATCACGATTCTCAACGCTAAGTGTAAGATAGGTTGATTAATACCATTGGCTAATATCTCCGCTGGGAGAACGCGGCATTGGCAACAAAGATTCCTTGTTAATTCTTGGATAACGTGATTGGTTGAATGCAAGAATATCAATCTTGTGGCCTCCATACTTTTGGACGATGCGCATGGTGTCATCGTCCGTGTTGAAGGAGTTCATGAGTATGAAAGGTACGTTAACATCGTATCTACTATTTAGGTACTATAACAAATTATCATATTAACATTGTTGTGCATTCATATCGATCAACATTCCAAACCGGTTACAATGGCAGTAGAATATGATCTGTACTACCAGTGATCAATAAACTTACTTCGATTTGCCTGACACTTAAATCCAAGAATGTCATACCGTCTCTAACCTCAATAGCACTCTTGGGACCTATGCAACCCATAGTCGTTCCTAAGCCACCATTCAATTTTAGGACGGCCAATTTATTGAGATGTTGTGGATTCTCGCAGACGGGTAAATTTGCATAGGGGATAATTTGTTCAGGACTTGGTGAATTGACCTTGTCCCAATTCCTTTATCAAATTCATCAAAAGGTCATGTTAAAAGAGCCAGTAAAGAGCAATATAAACCCGGTTAAGCATAAAATTCCTTCTCACTAACAATTTTGTTCCTTTACTTTTTTCGCTCAAATATCGGGTAAACAATGCGAAAAAATTATCCATTTCATTTTCAAAAGCCTATGAATCAAATTAACATGAATAGTAGGCGTAATATCTTCCAACATTCCTAATTCTCATTAGTGTCGTGACTCATATATAGTTACTTTGCGTTGTTTCATGTCCTGAATTGCATGGGCCAATTTGTTCAGCTCGACACGCATAGTCTTTGCGGCAAGGCTTGAACTTGTTTGTTGAAAGTCCTTTTTTTTTTTTTCACACCAGACAAAAGAGATATCAGTCGACGAGAACGCATAAAGACCATCTCGGTTATAAATAATTTAATTACCCGCATTGACGAGGTATGAGGATGCCTACGTTCCGAATTTGGTTGTAAGGAATTCATTATTTCTGAGTTTTATTTGATATGTGGGAAAAACAACAAAAACGTCTAGTTGACGGTTTTTATACTTTTCTGAGAAAAACCGCTTAACTTTATTATTCGCGCTCAGGTGATTTTGAGATTTTTGTTACATTATAATTGCATCATTATCAGTTACCATAACTGTACGTTTTCAAATTAGTATCATGTGTTATAATGAGTAAAATAAAAATTCACTACACATTAAATGTGATATATCGAATTAATAAATATATAAATTCTATTCTCTCTATTTACTGTATATAGTTCATATTATTATTATTATTATTATTATTATTATTATTATTATTATTATTTTATTATTATTATTAAATTTTATAGTTTTATTAAGTCATATACTTTATGTAATTTAAGCAAAAATTTTAATTTTTTAATATATTGCGAATTTTTCGTTTTAATCAAATAGTTCGTATGTTTTTTTTATTTTATTATATTACGCTCATAAATTATTTTCAAGTTTTTTCCTTTAAAAACGATATTTTTTAAAGTGTTCTTAATCGAGTAAATTGTTTTAATTATAATTTATCTTTTTAGAGTGACGTTGCCGATCGTATCTGATTTAACTGACCGATCATTGTCAGTGTCGAATTCATCTCTTATATTCTCTTATGGAAAAATCAGTCACAACACATTTTCCCGGTTCAACCAGTACTAATTTTGATTTATCGCAAGCGCCTCGTTCACATACTGATCATGAGAAAGTATTAGAAGCACTTGAAAACGATTTTAAGGGAATGGATAAAGTGTATACAAGTGGTGAAATGAGAGTATTCGGTTAGCATTACGTTGACAATTTTTTTGCATCATTCTCTCTAGATTATTTTTTTTATCCCTAATGCTTTTGACGCCCTTGAATAGGACGTGATTCCAATAATATATTCAAAGAATTAGAATCGATACGTAAAAAACAAATTGCGTTAGCTGTTGAGCATATTAAGTTGGAAAATGTGCCGGATGAAGAAATGTTTGTTATAGTTAACCTTTTTAATTTCTTTATTCTACTGTGATATTACAAAATAACAATATATTTTTCTTTTATATAAAAGACCGCTTGGAAAGGATACACCCGTAGATTCCGAGGAAAATTTTAAACGTAATTCTGAACGATTTTCTAAAAGAGAACATGATCTAAATAGTTTGATGACTAATTTAAACAATTTGATGGTAAAGGTAAGTAAGTGTGTAAGAAAATTATCGGTTGTACTATTTATTTAGGTATTCTATTTTGTTCAAACTTTTTAAATGTAGCTGGAAGATTTGGGTCAATCCATGAACGTATATGAACCCAGTTCATAATCGTTTGGAAATAGAATCGACAAAATATGTATATTACTTTTATAACCCAGTTTCCCGAGGATTGATATGGTAATTGTTCTTCTTTTTAGAGAGTAATATCTTTATAAACAATAGAAGTTAAAATATGTATTTTTTTAATATATAATCTTGAGTTATTAAGAGTTAGGCTCATTTTTTGACACATGTATTGTACAAGATTTCTCATTATCCTAATAAACGAATTTCTATATATAATTTCAAATTATATAATATTAAACCATTTTATAAATATATAACTCTTGCTTTAAATTTAATTGTACAGAAAATCAATAATAAAAAATCAAATGTTATAAAGATATATTCTAAATTAAAAATAATTTTTTTTTTATAAATATATACGTAAATAATTTTTAATGAGAAATTATTTTCATTAAATTCATAAATATAAATATCTATATATTGTATATACAATAATAAGAATAAATTCTTATTATATTTAATATTATATTTTTTTAAGTAGTATTAGAATTATTATAAAGTATTATTTTAAATAAAATATTCAATTAAAAAACATATTAATTATTGTAAAAAATACTTGATATATAGCTTAGATATTAAGTATCAATAAAAAATATACATTATTGCATATTTGTCTTTTAAAAAAATATATATTATAATATTAAAAAAATTTTTTTTTAAATCTGTAATCAAACTGATATTTTTTATTTATTAAATCATAGAATCATTACAAGTATAAAAAAATATTCAAAGTATAAATCTTTTTTAATTCAGCTTATTTGTTAATAGCTTAAGTCTTTAAATATAATTTAAAATAGTTAATATATTATTTTTTTAATTCTTTTTTACAGAAACTATATAAAAAAAAAGATATAAAAAGAATTTTTTAAAAAAAAAAAACAGTACAAATATACAGTGGTGTGCAATATTTTTTGGACAAATTATTTTTGTTATAAATAAACAAATTCTTATTTAAATAATTTAAAATTTTGAATATATATTTTTTAATAGTTAAAAAATAGTTTATTCTAATTTTTCTTATCAACTATTATAAAATTTATTTCAAAATTTATTTTTAAATCAAAAAATTTCAAGGTTAAAATTTGTTTATAAATTTTTATATATAAATTTATATATAAATTCTGGTCGGAAATAATATGAAATTTAAAAAATTTACAAATTTTTAAATAAATTATTTAATAATTACATATTGATTTTATAAAAAAATTATAATATTAATATTTTATTAATTTATTTATCTTAATTTAATAATTTTATGATACAAAATAATTTTATTGATTTTTTATTATCAATTTTTTATAAAGTTTTTAAAATCAAAAAAAAAATTTTGAAAACATTTTTTTAAATAAAAATTAAATAAAATTTTAATAATATATTATATAAATAGTTATTAAGTAAACTTGTTCTTTATATTTTCAAATATATATAAACAATTTTTTATTTAATTTCTTTAAATAATTATTGAAATATAATTAATTAATTAAAAATTATTTTTGTCCAAAAAATTTTGATCACCACTGTATATTAAAAAAAAAATATCAAAAAAAAAAAATTTCATCTATTCTAATTATTATTAAAAAAATTATCTTTATAAATCAAAATTCAAGTCTCTTATAATTACTATTGCATTTATTTCTTATCATTTATAGTCAGTTAGATTGTTTAATTTCTATTGAAATAGCAATATTCAAAAATATTTAAGAACACTTTCAAAAAAATATATTTTTTTTTTTATTCGCCGTTAACTCAAAATCCCTAATCATTAACTTTGTATACCTCCTGATATTTCTCCAGGATGCACGGATGATTTTTTTGTAGATCCTAAATACTTATCTTAGACCTAAGCCTTTAAGTATAAACTTTGAAAGTGAATAGGTTACTATATTAAGATTAGCAAACCATACTAGCTGTCTTGACAATCCTAGCCTACAGCCACTACTATAGTATTTCAACCATTCAGTTTAGTTAAGACTTACTAGGGTTTAATTAGTGAGATATCATTGATAGAATGAGGATATACCAATATACCAAATTCGTCTGGGAATTAAATTCAGCCTTACCTTTCTTAATCTGATCTAGTAATACATGTGAGAGGTTATATTTTATGAGGTCATGCAGTCAATCATCACAAGTATATCCCTTAGGATAGAACATCCCATGATACAAGTAATCTCCTATACCCCCGACCAGATCCTCACTACCATTGGACATATGAAACTCTTACTGATAGTTATGCGACTAATAGTTTTAGCCATCTGTATTTTTCTTTCTGCTATCAGAAAGATCCCATGAAACTTCTTCCTCCTTTTGAAGGTATTTCCCAGGCAATACTTGATTAGAAAGTTTTATCAATTAAATCATTTATCTTTTCGACCTATGGAATATAGTCTACTCATAAGGCTTCTTAATCACCAAAACAATTCAAATCACTTTTTATTACTAGTTATAGGAGTAGTTAAAGATGGGTCCCTAAAATATTTAGCATATAAAATTTATATCCCTTTATGTCCACGTCCCCTAGAGGACATAATTTCTAGCTCTTTATTTCAATAGGGACATAATTCCAGAAATGATTTGTATAGATGCTTAAAACTATAAAGAACCTTTGTAGGTAGTTTTTTTTTATTTCTTAATATAGAAATGAAAATTTTTAATAATAAGAGATATTTGAATTATGTCCTTACAAATAATTTAGGGACCCATCTTTAGGAGTAGTGATACAAAGTCCTTATTTGGAATATATAAATTGTCCTCCAGCTGGAGTTGAAATGTGGGTCATAGGTTAGCCTTATCTTGCCTTAGTCCACTGAACTATAATTGGATAGGTCTGATACTTTCAAAAAAATATTTTTTGAACTTTATATTTAAAAACTTTTAATTAATAAAAATATTGATTTTCTATTGTTTATTTTTCTTTCAAGTTATATCTTCTAAAATTATTGCTTTATTTAATTAATAAATAATTTCAAAATCTTTTTTCAATCATTTTCAAAATAAATAAATACTATTATCTTAACTTGTATCAAATTGAAATAGAACTTAAATTTTGTATTTATTTTCTATTTTTAAAAAGAATAGAAAAGAAAAATAATAAAAAAAATATTATTTGTTTTCATTTATAACTTTAACTTATCTAATATTCTTATATTAATTTTTTAATTAAAAACTATTTAATTCTTTTAGAAATTAATTATATTATTGATTTAATATTATATAATTAAAAATATATAAAAAAATATACCTTATTTATTTTTTTTATAACTAATATAATTAATCAATTTGTAATTATAATTAATTGTTTTTTAAAAAATTTGATATAATTAAAGATTCTAATGATTCTTTTTAATTCTATATTCTATTCTCAAGTTTATATAAAATTTAATAGATAGAATATACCTTACTATTATTTTTAATAATATTTTGAATCTCATATAATTCTATACAATTCTATGTAATTTTGTTCAATTATAATTTTTGGAACTATAAGTATAATCAATAATTCAGGATTAAACTAAGATAAACAAAATTTCTTAGAAAAATTAAAAAAAAAGAAAATATATTTAAGAAAAAAAATATAAAAAGTTAAAGAGATAATAAAGAAACTAAAAATTTCTTTTTATTTATTTTTTTAGATTCATGAATTTTTTGAAAGTCTTTGAAAAATATTTTTCTTATTAGTTTTTTTCTTAAAAAGATGTTCTTACCATAGATTTCTTAAATAAATTTCTTATATTTAATTATAAAAATAAACAATAAAAATATTTTAAAAAAAAAAGATAAATAAATTATAGCTATTACTTGTTTTACTAGTTAAAAAACCAGTATTGTTAAAAAAATATATAAATTTTATTATTATAAAAATATAAAATCTTTTGAAAATATCTATTTTTTGAATTGGCAAAAGAATTAACAAAAAGAATTTTATTTAATACATAAAAAATGTTATTTCTTTTATAATATATACTATATAAGATACAAATTAAATAAAGAAATAATATTATTTTAATAATAAGTTGATATAAAATTTAATAAAATAGATTATATATTTTTTTTTTTTTTTTAACTCAACTAGCTAGGCCTTGCCTAACGTGCTTTATTTAGTTTACATGTGTATTTCTTTTACAAGAGTTACTATCTATAAACTATTCTAGATGCATATTAGGCTATATCGAATTTCTCCCATATCGGCTTGTTGCTATTGACTTGTCCTATTGGTACATGTCAAGGCTAACGTGCCAAGGCTCCGTCAGTGTTGTTATTGTATGAATAAATAAAATTAAAATTAATAATGTTTTCTCCCTGATCCAGCCAGTTGCTTACCAGCCTCCGCTGCATGTTTGATATTTCTACTTGTTTATCCACCACTCCTTGTTGATCGGATTGTGTGGTGAGTCGATTGTTATACGAATGCCCTCTATTCTTACTTCTTTTATCTATTCTGCTAATATTTTCACTCTTTTCCCATTGTTGAAAGCGTTCACATCTTAGTATCCATATCTTTTGTAGTGTTTCTGTCATTCTGCCTGTCACTTTTTTAATCGTATCTTTTGTTTTTGTCCCATTAGCTCGTTCAATCAGTGAAATCAGATCCTTGCTGAAGATTCCTTTGATTATATATCTGAGGCTCCTTTCAGAGTCGGTTATTATCTCTTCTAACTGGCTTTGCCAATTGAATTTGTTTTCCTTGGTCTCCATTCTGCTTGAGATTTCCTCTTTTAGAACTTTCAGGAATTTCGATCTTACTTGTTTTGCGTGATGTTCCCTATATATGTGCTCTACATTTTCTTGTTTATCGCACCAAGGACATTTATCGTCTTTATAGAGGTCTGGTTTTCTTTTGTACAACTTGTCTTTTGTTGGCAGTTCCTCATTGAGGAGTTTGTACCTAAACGCTCTGATGTTGTGATCTTGCTGGTGGGTTTCAAAGCTGGTAATTTTTGATGGTGATAAACTAGCCCATGTTCTTTTCCAATCTATTTCCT